TGAGCCACGCACATCATGGTTGCTAAGCACTTCACGCAGGGTAAGTTTTCATTTAGTTTTACTTTGCTGATGTTTCGTTTTTCTTACATAATTACGTTTCCGCGAATTTTCATCGATTTGATAAAATACAATAATACGTTTAAAAATCGTTGCATAGAAATGAAAAAATATATACATAATGTCCATGATACATCAATGCGATGCACAGTGGGTGGTGCAATTCTATGATGGTAATAATAATAATAGAAATAATGGTATAGAACTAGCAAGAGACGAGTTGAATTGCTTCGTCTCTATTATTATGATACTTTCATAGTTCGTGATAAAGTTCAGTGACATTGCGTAAAAATATTTGAATATCGTCACGTTCTTTTCTTTTTTTAACGATTATTCGAAAAATATTATTCGAATAGAGGAAGGAAAGAAAGAAAAACGTTAAATTTTTATTTTTAAAAAATAAAATTTTTGATAAAAAAACTATATATAAAAATATATGATAGATAGAATGTAATTATATGTGAACTTATAATTTAATTATGTTTTTAAATAAGCCTGGATGGAATAGTATTGACGATTATTCTGAAGGATAAGCTAAAACTTATGAGTCCGATGTCAAATTCGTGATAGTTTTTAAATTGTTTGTTCGATGTCTTATCGATCGACATTTAGCAATTTTATTTATGTATGTTTTAAATATATATATTTTTCTACATGAAATCAAAGATGAAAACAAAGAAAATAGGTCGAATCCAAAATTTCAATCACAAAATTCTTGATCATACCTATTTAAGATACAATTGTATAACTTTTTTTTTTTAATTTTTACAATATAATTTTTACAATATAACTTTTATTTAATAGTTTTTATTTTATAGAAAAAATTTCTTTATTAAAAATTACTAAAAATTTGTATATATTCTATGGAGCTTTTAATTTGCAATGCGACAAACGTGATGGTTTCTTGTCATGCAATCTTTAACATTATTGCGGATTATCTTTAATATCACTTCGTTCGCATGATAGATGTAAATGTCAGTAGTAATTTTTTTACGAAAATTTAACCAATAAAGAAAGTATTTTATGATATGCGATGATTTCCACTCTGAATCCGTCAACCTTTCCTTCTTCTATATATATCCGCAGTGCAGTGATACGTCCAGGGATTTCCATCTTCTGCTTCGTTTCTTTTCAATTCTTCTCTCATGCAAGTCAATAAAAAGTGCACATTTTTTTGTATTTTTAAATGAACTTTTTTATTCGTTACTTCTGCTATGTAATTTTATTCAATTTTAAAATTGATTGTAAATATCATTTAATTATTTCTTTCATTGGCCTATATATATTTTAATTTTTAATTCTAATTTACTAGCTCTTGGAAGTAAGTTTTCTTATATTAAAGTAAATATTCTTGTCAATTACTAAAGACAAAAAACTTCAAATTTTGAGAGTAATTAATTTGAGAGATGTATAATTTTGATATACATATAATTTTATATACATACATATATATATTTTCATTAAAAAGAAAAATCACAAAGATTGTTGAATATATAAAATATTTCATATACATAAAAACTTTCTTTTTTCTTTTAATATATCTATTTCTATACCAAGTAGGAAATACAGTCTTTTTGTTCGTATATAATCAGTATTTATGACATTTAATGTATACAATGTAAGTATATATTAACAGCAACTTGAGTTATCATCTCGTAGTATGATAAAACCACTTACGTTACAAATGTATGTGCGATCATATATTTTGAACTGGAATACAATACAATGCATTCAGTGATTTGGAACTGTGGAAAATTAATATTATGTTATTTGTAAATCTTGTATATTTTAAGAATTATGAAAATTTTCATTTCTGTTATTATATATTGACGAAAATTTTGAAAATTAAAATATTTCGAATTGATTTGTATGTTTATATAATAAACAGAAAAGAAATTCTTTTTAGGCGAGTATATAAATTTTTTTAATAATTTTGAATCTTTTTAAAAAATAAAAACAAATAAATAATAAAATTTAAATTTTTTTAATTTATTTAAAATAAATTGAATGATTAATTGGATAATGGTATTTATTTTATATAATAACACATTTTTATTAAAATACTCGTTTAAAATATATTTTACTAAAATATCTAAAATACGAGAATTTATATTTTTTATTTCAACCAAAAGAATAAAATAATTTGGTTAAATTTTTTCAATTCATTCATTTAAATTAAATTTATTAACAATATATAAATATACGTAATCAATTTCTTAATTGATATGAAACTGTTGATTATAATTCCCTAGATAGTTACAATATGTTTCTAAGAAGCAAACTTCACGTTAATCATTCGATATTTCGATTGAATCTAAGCATTCGATAGTTTCGATCTATGATGAAATGTAAAGATCAGTGAAATTATCAAAATATTTTTAACTGATTTTCCAAAAGTTTCTATCATTTACAAATCTAACTAATAACTCAAAATATATATATGGTGAAATTCAATTTCAAGTTATAGTTCACATATCTGAGAATTTTTCTATGGTGTACGCAACAGACATCTCGAAAGAGTGAGTCACAACAGCATCCTGGTAAAAGCAGGTTTCTTCGGAATTTCGTGCTCATAGAATGAATCATTGAATGTAAATATTGAAATATATATTATCATTTAAAATTATGAAATCACATTTCTTAAGGATATATTGATATTTATGATCAAAACATAACCTATTTGTTAAATGTTTTGAATTTAAATACAATTGTTTTTTGTGAAGTTAGATTATAGAATTTAGTATTACGTTTTTTATCTTGATTAACTCGATTTTCAAAACAATTGAAATTTCCATATACATAATAATCGATATGTGTGAAAATAATTCTATATAAAAACGAATAATTTATATATTCGGTAATACTTCGTACGCTTTTCGGGTAAATTAATACGTTGGTGTTCTGTATATGATAATGTGGCGAGTTAATTATTTCCTCCCGTTGTTACGTGTCGTCGACCTCCCTGAGAAACTCTTCGGGACTGCACTGTCGTTGGATCGTTGCACGAAAGCTTCGTCCTCGATCGACAGCATGAAGTTTCTTGAAGGTGACGCACCGTAAAAGGGAGACACGCAGCAAGAAGGACAAGTGAAGAAACAAAAAGGAACAGAAAATTAAATAAATTTATTTCTTACAGAGAAAGATAAATATGTGATGAAGAGAATTGAAATTTGAGAAACAAGTTCGGTAGTTTTTAATTGAACATGAAAAGAATATATTTTATAAATAACCATTAAAATCGTCTTATATCTTTGAATAATAATGTTGAATAATTTTTCAATGAATGAAATTTCGATTTCATGTTCCTATTTTTTTTATATTAAATTTTTATATAAAGTTATAGGTTATATAGAAATTTGTATATAGTTTTATTGCTAAAAAATTGATAATTGTTCCTATCTTTTTTTATATTAAATTTTTTTATAAAGTTATAGGTTAGAAATTTGTGTATAGTTTTATTGATAAAAAATTGATATATAAAAAAATATAATTATATATAATATAATTATATGAAATATGATATATTTTAGAATTCATAGAACAAAAACAAAAAAATTCCTTTTAGATTATTTTTTTAAATATACATATATTCATCTAGGGATTTTTTTTATAATTTCGTAATTAGAAAAATAGAATGAGAAGTTAAATTTATAATTTTTTCATTCTTTATTCAAAAGAAAATATATTCGATATTTTATTTCGAAATCTGTTATGCGTGATTCATATCTCATCATTTGAATTTGAATTTTATTATTTTTTTCATTTATGATTTTTATTGAAATTTGACAATGAATCATCCAATGAAATATCTTCAAATCTAATAATAATAATAATAATAATCATTTACAAAGATAAATAAAAGATTTTTTTTTAAATTAATGGTATATAAATATATTTTTGACAGATTATAATGAAATTTGCGTCAATCATAAAATATGTGAAAAAAAAATTCATCAAAAATCCATCTTTGTATCTATTCCTTTCGAGATTTTATCTCAGCTTCGCGCATTTCCTGTAAATATTGTAGGATCTTTGTCAATTTGGAAATGGATGGAAGATCCATTGATATGAAATCATTGATAAAATATTTCAAGTATGACAAAGAATATACAGAAAACAAGAAAAAGACGATCCATTTCATGTAAAGAAACGAGATAAACATTAATCGAAATATTATTTACAATCTAGGAAAATTTAATACGTTGCAATGATCTTCAAATTCGTTCATCAAATCAAATAATAATCTTTTCTTGCAAACACAGTTTAATCTTGGAAATTATATCTACCATATTATAATTAAGATTAAATCTAAATAAGTATATACATATACAATATGTATCTTGCAGATTCATTTTCCATTTAATATATCAAAATTATATCTTTTTTATTTTTCAATAATGAAATTAGCATTTTTATTTAAGATTAAAGCGTTAAATTATATATTTTTTTAAATATTCTCATCATAGATGATATTAATTCAAAAAGAAAAAATCTGATTGGATTGGAACATCATCTGTAATCATTGTGGCGAACCACGTGCTCGCGGTACGCAGGTGCTATAGCAGCAGCACTAGCAGCAGCAGCAGTGCACATACACCTGCGAAATACGTTACACCTGCACGTCAGCTGCTGTGATCCTATTTCTCCAAGGTCGTATGTCACGTGACTCCTCGAGGACCGCCTTGCTAACTACTATCGCGAAATTTAATATTTCATCTTGCAGACTCGGCCAACAATTTCTTTGACAATTTTTTCTGCTCGCCATTTAAGCAACATTATGGCACCATTTCCGGAAGAATTTTTTTCTCTATTTAATTATTCATAATTAATTTTTAAACTTATAAACTTTGAAACAAAGAATCTATAGCAAATTATATACCACTTTCATATTTTAACCTTTTTAATTTTCAGAGATGTTAGAGATTATACAATATAATGGCTCGGCCAGAAATAACCTACAACAGATCTATCTAATATTAATTATTATTTATCGCCAAATTGATTGGATCAATAATCTAACCATAAAATCGCAACTGAAAAAGATTAAAGACAAATTTTACAGCGAACGAATATATAATTGTAATCGAATATCATTTCAAAGATTAATTCTTCATCAGTAAACTGTTGATAAACCGCAATTGGAATACAAACAAGAAAAAAATCGCGTATGTGATGGTGAGGTACAAAGGATTGATTAATGAACCGGAGAAAAAAAAACAAACCGCAATTACATCAGAGACTACGATGTTTGGGGTAGGCGCCATTTACGTGATACCACTACACCCGGCTCGTCATCGCGAGAGCATGTTAATTAAATCGAGATTGTAATCGAGCAGCTGGAATCTTTCCTCGAAACTTTGTAACACTGATTCCATTGAATTCTTCGTGAATTATGAGGTGAAATATGCGTGTTATTTATGCGTTTTATTAATGGATTTGGAATTAAGATTTTTTTAAATAAAATTGCGGTAAAAGTTGTATTAGTTTTACTTTAGTGTTTAAATCGAACAGTTTTAAAAAAAATTTTGTTTTAATTTTATAAGCAATTTTATAATATTTATAATATTCATTATATAAATTATATAATGTATAATTCATCGATATCATGGAATTTAATTTTTAATGAAATGATGATTTTCAGAGTGATGATTTATAGAATAACATTTATTGATTACTATATTGCGATATTATTTCATATTATGAAATGATAGGATAAAGAACGAAATTTCGTTACATATAGTTCGTGTTTGATTCGATGCTAGTGGCTTTCTATTAACACCTCAATCACATTGAAAATTGACCACTAGAAGTGACAAGGAATCATCACGTACAGTATTGTCCATGCTTGAACAACAGGTGGTCAGAGAATTTACCAGGTTTCCATATCGCGTTCCTTTTAAGCGAACGAGATCAATGTTAAGTGTTCATCGCAGAGCTCGAGTGACCAACAAGTCGAGTGAAAAAGCTAAAAGAAATGAACTAGAAGGACATGGTATTCTCAATTTATTTCTAATTACTTGATAAAGAGGCAAGGATAAAAAATAAATAAATTCAAAAGAGATAAACATGTATCATAAAAAAGTTGGTTGAGATAATTCAATTATTTTACAAAAGATACAGTTTATAATAAAAATGTAATAAAAAAGTTTTTTCTTACAAATCTTTCTTCTTGTTTCAGGCTCGAGCCCTGAGTTGGGTGTCCCGGATATGACAGTCATCAGCGATATCGACGAAACGGGAATCAATCGAAACCTTCAAGTTCGATATGGAAGGGATCAAATATATGTATCCTTTGATCAAGCTTTAATTAATTAAAATTGTCTTATATCCGTAAGGTAAGGTTATCAAAGAAATTTGTATTGTAAATCCCTTAATGAAAAATCTTAATTGATTTTTTATTTATTTTTATTCTGAATATATTTTATATTATATTTTTTTCATGTATATCTAATTATATTTATTTGTTTGATTCTTTTAATATAGAGATTTGTTAAATGAGTTTGTGGTACGAATTACTACTTTTTTGTGACATCAAGGCAGATGTTAAAATAGAGATTGATTCACGAACGATTACAAAATTCATCATGTGGAATTCATAGTCTGCTAAACATGTTAGAGCACGTGTGAACCGCCTTGTTCCATTCGTCCAGAAGTTTAGCAAAAAACAGTGAACGGACGTCCGTTCATTTCGTAATTCGTCGTTAGTGCACTCTGAAGTTAGAATTCTTCGCACATTCCTACGAATAACTCGAATTCACGTTGTGCTTTTTCCTCCATTATTGTTGTTGTTATATATTAGGATTTCACATTGAAATTCTTATTCTTCAATTTTCAATTTTTAATGAAAACATTAAATAAGGAGGAAATTAAATAATAATAAGCAAGGAATCATTAAAAAATAATAGATACGAAATTTCGAGAAGTATATAAATTTTATGAAATAAATATATATACTTAAGAAACTTGAGTTAAATAATAACTTATTGGAATTGATAAGATTTTGATAAATTTAATTTTGATTCAGAGAATTAAGAGAATTGAACGAATATCATTGCGTAAAAGTATAAGCATTACGTACAACTTTGTATCTGATATTTAAAATAAGATATTTTTCAAAACACGACGACAAAATCCATCAGTGTTCAAAGTTTCGATAAAATCAGTGACCCGAACTTTTCTGCGTAAATACAAGTATCTGATCTATAATTTTTATTAATAGAATGATGAAATCCACCAATGTTAAAAGTTTCAATGAAATCTGATGAAATGGAAAATCTTATATGGTAAATATCCATTTGACCTTATAGAGAGTATTTTTCTAACCAAAAGTGGTGGAATATAATGCAATATTTTCTAAATATTCGATATCTAATATTACTTACCAACCATTTATACTATTTTTCTAAACAAAAGAAGAAAGAGACGTTGATCAAGATTAAGACGATCAAATAACTGCCTCAAAGATCTTGCATTCCCCCTTCATGCAATGAAGAGTATGAACTAGAGAGAAGAGACGCGAAAAATAATGAAGAATGATAGAGAGAACGAAAGGGGTTGAAGAAGGGTGAAGAAGTTAAAGAAGTGAACTATATGTATGAATTTTGTAGGGGTGGGGCGTTGCTCCCGGGTTGGTTGGTTGGTTGCCATGACAACAACCCCAGTCAGCTGGTGAACCACCCTAGGGCCAGACCCATTCATCCTCTTGGCTTCACCGACCCAACGACCGACACCGACACGACCCACTGTCGTTTCTTGTCATGCTTTAATTCGCACCCTTCTTCCTATCCCTCTCGGTTCATCCCTATGTCTGCGATCGGATGTGGAGAGAGCGACAAGACGGCCAAATGATCATCCGTACTTTCTATTGTGGTTCAATATTCATAGGATCTGCTATATATATATATATATACATATAATATCGTCTGGTCTTGAGCAGATATCGAGAAAAGTCTAAGGATTTGAGGGTAAAAAATCCACGACTTTTTTGTTAAATATCGACCTCTTAATTGGATTAGTTTTCCTCTTAATTGGTTTATCTGAGAAAAATAGCTAATTCCTTAGACTGAAAATATCTATTGTATCCCTGAAAATATAGGAGAAGTTTTGGTTTGAGTGGAAAAGTTAGTTTAGTAATAGTTTTGGGGTCTAGTTAGTTTTCTTTGTTACCAGGCTTCCTTTCTTTTTTACAACGAATAGTTATTCGCTTTTTTTGGTATCTTTTACACCAATTATTTTTTCTTCAATATCTAGACACAAAATAATGAATTTTCCTCTTTAAAGAAAAAATTCTTCTATAGAAAAAAATAATACAAAAAAATATGTATCATATGATATATTTTATATCTTATGTTTTTAAACACGAATAGATTATGATTAAGTCATTAACGAAACCGGAACAGTTTTAATCAATTGCGTAATTTTTGTTCACCTCGGTTCGGTATGGATCAAACACCGGAATTCAAACGCGTGATGCGTTCGCCTCGACGATTTAGGTCGTAGTAGTACTTGTTAGTGGACATTTCCTCGTGTGTCGATCGTTGCCGGTTTCGCCATGTGTAGGACGAAATGTATCGTTGTAAAACAGATCGCCCACAAGATCATGGATCACCGAGCCACGTTCAAGGAAACGTTCTTTGTTTCCTTATTCGCAATAATTGACATTTGATGCATTTAATTTTATCGTTTTTCGCATTAAGAATTTAGAAGAGGTTGTTGAACTTTTGATAGATTTGAATTGACAGTCGGGGTTTAATTTTGATAAATATAGGTGAATTAAATATTCTAAACTCATTATATGTGTTCTTAATGAAAATTCTTCGTTTTTTCATTCTCGGTTAATAATTTTTCTTAGCGTTGAATTGCATTTAATCAGCGAATGCGTAAGGCTCAAATAGCTTCAGTATGTAGTCACAGATCGTTCCAGCCTCTGCAGGAAGTTTAATTATCGGTTGATTGCAGCAAACGAATAAAACCGTGTATTCAATGACCAAACATCGTGAACATGTATCAATCAATCCATGTGTAATTAGTATAAGTAACTAACCGCATCCTGCAATTTCCACCATCGATTCCAAACAATCCATCGTCGAACAATTTCAATAGAAATAAAAAAAAATCGATATCCCAATACACGACGACTCAAATTTTTTCAATACCTTTAATAATTTATATCGAAATACTTTCGGATATGCTAACTGATAGAACTGATTGATTAAATCATATCTGAATTTATTATGTACACAATTGTATCGATTTAGCTCGTGCATTATATAAAGTAAATCGAATCTCGCAAAATATACATTGTCGTTCTCATTAATATTTAAGCAAATATCAATAATACCTTTTATCGATTAAATAATACATAATCTGAATCAAAATATAGAATATTATCTTTTCTTAGAAGTTGTTTAACATTTAAATATTTATTCAGTTCTTTGAAACATGTAGAATTTCTTCATTCAGAAAAGAGAATAAATTATTTTGTATTATTATTATTCGTAAAAATGATATGAATTATGATAAAAATAAAAATATATTTTCTACATACAAATGTGTACACGTAACTCCTCGAACTCTTTCTATCATATCGTTACACGTCAAAACTTTTTCTATGCTATCAAGAATCGTCTGGTTAATAGAACTATCCCGGTGTCTATCGTGATTCCTCCCAAAGGAGGTTCGATAGATCGTCGGTTGATTAAATGGCTGCACTGTGTTGTTGTTCGTCTTTGCGAGCTCCGTTTCGAGATCGCGAGATAACTTGAAACGGCACAGATAAAGTACAGTAGCCTCCACGGTGGTGAATACACGGGAAATAAATTCGGTCGGAGGTCAAAGGTTACGTTGTTCGTATATTGGAACGAGCGAATCGACAAATTTATTCCAGATTACGAAATTCAATTTTCGAAACGAAATTTAATCAGATCTTCGTGAAAAAGAAAAGACAAGCTACAATTATGAGCTTTCACGTTAAACGTGTTACTCTTTGTCTTCATAACAAGATTTTACATTTTTGGCTTACATAACATGTTTTTAAAGATTTTAAAATTTTCTTCATTAAATAAATAGGAAAAATCGGAAAAAAGCAATGTGTAATTGAATAACACTAGTTATTTAAATAATCATTGTCGTAAATACATGTTTTACAAGAGTCGTGAATAGAATGAACTCGTGCTCCGCCAATGAAATTTCCACTTACAAAGGGATAAAAAATAAAAAATAAAAAAAAGGGAAGACTAATCATCTCGTGAGACGAGAGCAAAATTATATCATCGTTTCTCAATTATCTCGTTTGATCAGGGACGATCAAACGACGAATATAATAAATTCCATTTAAACGAATCTCTCTCTCTCTCTTTCTCTCTCGCCTCCATTACGGAAAGGTTTGTGCCGGGCACGGTTGATCGAATCTCGTTAAAGTACCACGGGAACGGGAGTAATTACTTCGAAACCGGTACAGTTTTACCGTACCGTGGAACTCCTCTCTTCTGTCGCGGTTAATTTCGTTAGGAAAATTGAAAGTTTCGAAGCGAGCCATAGCCGTGTTTGCGGGGCCGCCTATCTCGTCGCGGTGGAAAACATCGATGGCATACAAATAAGAGGCTCGCGAGGATATCCATCCATGACGATGCGTGACACTTCTTTATAATCTCTTTGCACTTTGTACTTCGGTTGAATTTTACGAAATAATTCTGGAAAACTGAATGAATGGAGATGAGAGAAGAGATCTGGATTAATTTTAAGTAAATAGGAATGTGGAATGAAAATTTGAAACGAGCGAACGATCGATCGGTTCAAATTGATGTTAATTGAGAAAGAAGATTTCCTTTCAAAAAATAATGGACGAATCTTCTTCCATAGTTGGATAAAAAAATTTTCGAACACATTCAGAATTGAAACATAGCTGATCTCGGGGTAGACGAGATTACGAGGAAAAGAGAGAAGGATGAACGATGCTCGATCGGATAACCGGTGTTGCATCAGGGTGGCGAGGAGGATCTTCAGCTTCCGGTTTCGACGGGGCTAGGGTTAATCCGATATCCCGAAAGAGAAGCGACCTCGTGAAAAAAAAGAGGAGAGAAGGCGTTTGAGTATCTCGAATGAGAGGTGGATAATGGGTGGCCGATGAAACGTAGACGGTGAGGAAACGAAGAGGTGAAGAGTCTTATCCCTTTTCTTCTTTCTTTCTTTTTTTTTTTTTCCTCGTGTGAACGAAATGAGGAAGCTTCGATCCAAATATTGTCGACAAGCTCGGGGGAGCTTGTTCGAAATAACAACGAAATTTA